TGCAATGCCTAAAGAGCTTCCATCCAGAATTTTCACATAACACTTCTCTCCATACTTAACTGACCAAGGGAAATCACATTGCATGGCCTACTTTCCAGGAATGCAGGGAAAGGCATTCCTACCATGTAACTGGAAGCAAGGAAGACTGAAAATATTTCAAAAATACTAATGATGGCCTCAAGTGGTAATGATTATTTTCACTAAAATGGTAAAAAGGGGGTTAAGGAAGAAGAAATGCATGCAAAAAACCATATATAATATACATATTATATATATACATTCATATATACACATACATATGTAGCTTCAAAATATATAATGATTTATGTATAATTAAAGACAAGGAAGAGGAAAAACAAGAGTAATTCAGGGATTTTTAGTTACAGTGACTGCAAAAAAAGTACATTAAGAGGACTATAAGACCCCTGAGAATTGTGTAAAAGATGGTAATAGATAATTTGTTTTGGAGAGAGAGTGTGCAAGTGTGGGATAGGGACAGAGGGGCAAAGGGGGAGAGAGAGAGGATCTTAGCTTCATGCTAAACACCAATCTCACTAAGGGCTCCACTCCAGGCTCCATCCCATGACCCTGGGATCATGGCCTGAACAGAGCTCAAGAGTTGGACACTTAATCAACTGAGCCGTCTGGGTACTCCAGGGACAGATCATTTAATTTTAGACTTACTGAATTCAGTGTAGAAATAACATACAGTTAGAAATTCAGCTGTTTCTTAGGAAAGATTTGGAAGTGAGTGATTTGGAGATGGTAGCTGAAACTGTGGACTTAGCCAAGATTCCAAAGCAAGAAGCCAAAATGGCTGTGGGCAGATTCTTAGAAATTATCATAATAGAAAGATGGAGGGGAAAGATGCATACATATGAGTAAGGGAAGAGACACTAAGAGGATTGCAAGATAAATGGGATAGTTCGATGTTAGGACAGCCAACAGATATCTTTGGAATGACCTATCATGACAAATGCTGTGAATTTATTCAGCAGGAGGCAATTGAAGGAAAATATTTAGTGTTTTAGGTCAATGGGAATTTCTGAAGAAAGATTTCTAGTAGAGTGGGAAGGACCTATGCCAAAAAACAAAGGGTTAACAAGTGCACTCATAGTGAAGAAGTTAATTGTAGTCCTTGATTACGATTTTTTGAAGATGAGGACTATGGAGAAAGTGAGAGGTTTTTAGATGAGAGCTACCATGGTGTAATACTACACCATGAGTGTAGTATTACATTGGCAAGGAAAATGAACAAAAATAGAAAGAGAAATTGTGATATATAGAAAAGTAGATGATAGAAACTGATGTAATAGTGAAATAAAAATGAAACACACACACATATAGTCCTTAATGGTCCTTGTCCAAGTTTTAATCAGTCCCTGATAGCTATCAAACACTTATCTAGGATATTCCCTTCACTAAATAATTGTTGGCATGAGTGCTAGTCATATGAACAAATTATAATATAGCCCTTCTTTAAGTATTTTGCTCTATCAGTAACTGTGAAAGGTGTGTGAAAATTTCTGACTATAATTTTGAAATTATTTTTATTATTTTTTGAATTTTTCTCCTGTAATTTGAGTTTATTCTATTGGGGCATAAACATATTTTTCCTCAGCAAAATTAATTGTGGTTCTCAGCAATTTTTTAAAAGTTTATTTATTTTGAGAGAAAGAGAGACAGAGAGAGGAGAGAGAGAGAGAGAGAGAGAGAGAGAGAGAGAGAGAGAGACAGCAGGGGAGGGGCAGAGAGAGAGGAAGAGAGAGAATCCCAAGCAGGTTCTGCACAGTCAGCACTGAGGCCAACGTGGGGCTCGAACTCATGAACTGCGAGATCATGACCTGAGTTGAAATCAAGATTTGGACGCTTAACCAACTGAGCCATCCAGGTGCCTCAGTTCTCAGCAATTTTACTATGATATGCATGAATGAAGCTTTCTTTTTGTTTATCCTGCTTGAAACTTGTCTCATTTTTTAAATCCAGGGTTTGATGTCTTTCATCAGTTTGGAAAATGCTTAGCCATTATTTGTTTGAATAATATTTGTATTCCACTGTCTCCTAGTTCCTTTCGAGATTCCGTTTTTGTATAGATTTCTTCTTCTCTATTCTCTGTCTCCAGCTTTCTGTTTTGTATTTTCTCTTTGCTTCATTCTGGATCTTTTCTTTCTTTGCTTATGTCAGTTTATTAATTTTCTCTTCATCTCTGTTTATTATATTTTTTCAGTTCTGATTTCCATTTCTTTCATTTTGTAATTTCCAATTTTCTGCTAAAATTTCCAATCTTCTCATTTCCTTGAATATCTCAGGAGTAGCCAAAGATTGCGTCTGATAACTCTATTGTTTATAACTATTTTACATCTAGTATTTATCTTAGCCATTTTTAATGGAGAAAGAATTTGAGATCTGAAATAATCACTTGAAGCTGAGATACATTTCCACAAGGACCTTTCTTCCTCAGTTCATTTTTAGAATATAGGTCTTAACAGTCCCATCCCAGAGCAGGTAGTTATTACTCTCTACTTGGTGAGCTCTGAACTCACCACCCTCCTAAATACTTTTTTTTCTGAAATTCAAAGACATTTTAAGGGAAAATTAGCCACAAATGCTGGATTCACATCTCTGATTTTCTGTGTTCCTCTGAATCTTGGCCTTATTATTTTCCCTTGCCTTTTAAATTATCCAAGTACATTTTTTTCAAGTATATATATATATATATATATATATATATATAAAAAATATTTTTTATTTTTATGTATATATATATATATATATGTATATGTGTGTGTGTGTGT